CTGCCCAGCAAATGGAGGAGTGGAGGAGTAGTGACCAATGAAGTAACATGAGGCATCTGAAGGGCTGAAAGCTTAAAGTGCATGACAACTTTTAAAGAAAGGGGAAACTAGGAAACAATAGGGTGAAATCATAAAGACTAAAGGTGTTACAGAGACCCAAGATACACAATCTTTGCTCTCAACAGAAACTCAACACCTCACATGCAGTTTTCTTGCCAGTTTTCTGATTTCTTTAAAGAACTGCTTCATTAGACTCTTCATGAGATGAAAGAGAGAGAGAGAGAGAGAGAGAGAGAGAGAGAGAGAGAGAGAGAAAGAAAGAAAGAAAGAAAGAAAGAACATAGCTACTGCAAAACAAATCAACCACAAAAACATGAAAACCCCAAATAACTTTTTAATGCTATGGATTCAAATAAGAAAGATGTGATTCTTTTTTACACTTGTCAACCTCTGTTAGCATAATAACCATGTGTAAGTGAGAAAGTAGTTAGTATTTGTAACACAGTTTTCCCTGGAATTAGCCAATTAAATTACATTGCTCATAGTTTAAGTCCATCTGGAAATTAGGCACCACGCAGCCGCTCACTTGAAGTCCCTTCTTTCCCCTCAGCCCAGTGGAATGGGGAGGAGAATCAAAGTAAAGCTTGCAGGTTGCAATAAAAACAGTTTAATAATCAAAACCAAAGTAAAACACAGTAATAGTGGTAAATTATAGTAATCATGACAATAAAAAGGGAAGAACAAATGATGCACAGTACAATTGCTCACCATTCAGTGATGTCAGATCCCCCTTCCTGAACCCTGACTGGTCCCCCCTTCTGTGTAACTCCTCCAGTTCATATACTGGGCATGATGTTCTCTGGTGTGGAATATCCCTTTGGTCAGTTCAAGTCACCTGGCTATGCTCCTTCCCATTTTCTTTTGCATACCTTGTCTCTGGCAGAGCATAGGACAAAAAAACCCCAAAAACCAAAAAATCCCAACCCAACCAACCAAAAAAAAAACCCTCACAAACCAACACTAAACGCCTCCTCCCCCCAAAAAAAACCACCAAACAAACAAACAAACACCCCACCCAACAAACAAACCACAAAATCCCAAACAACAACCCCATTAACTAAATCAAAGTCCTCAATTTAGATAAACATAATTTAGCAAGAACCAAAACTGTGTTATCGACACCATTCTCATTCCAAATCCAAAACACAGCACTGTAACAGCTTCTGAAAAGAAATTAATTCTATCCCAGCTAAAATCAGGACAGTTACCTATATTGAACCAAGTCTTCACAGTTTGGGATCTCTGCACATTGCATGTCAGTGCTCCTCAGGGCAGCACAGGTCCTTAGGGACAGCAGGGGCAGTTTGTCCATGGATTCAGACTGGAGGTAATTTATGCCTCTGTCATTACTGGTGTGCATGTCTATCCTTTGAGGAGATCTTTCTAGATCTAGATGAAGGAAATCCCTAACATCTGATTTTGTGGGGCCAAAAAGGCTTCTCCTGGAATCCAGCAGCTCTCTTCTGGCACCTTAGGTCAAGATATGTGATACAGAAAAAGTCTGTAGCTTCACAGGCACTATATCCTTTTTCTTACAATTGCAAAAAGTCATTGTGGAATGGAAAGGGTCATACAGAGGTGCCATGGTCATGCCAGAGTCTTACTCCAGCCATGTTAATTCCTACAGAGCATATAGGGTGTCAGAGACTATCATCAAAGTCCATATATTGGGTGCACTTGGTTGCTTTCTGTAGTGAAGGATAACATTAGCATCATGCACTGTAACTACTTGCCCAAGTTATTAAGTATCACATAAAGTCAACTCCAAATGATTTTTGTCTTTTTATTTCTAGTCAAATGATTATTTTATGGAAATTTTTGTGCACTGTATAGGGGGTGAGGTAGAATTTACACTTTAAAATGCACGAATTTCATAGCAAAACTTTTCAATAGTTTTGTATGTCTTGATAGATGTGAGACTAATCTGGAAGATCTTGATGCCTAAAGAAGAAAATTAGGAATACTTCACATTAAGGCAAATTTTTTGCTGGAGTGATGTGGAGTTTCATTCAAAATTCATTAAAAATTGTGCATAATAGCTCTTCAATATTTCCTTCGCTCTTAAATGATTCCTCTATTATTTGACAAATATCAGTAACACACATAATGAAGAATTAAACTACATTAAAAAAAATCTTATTCCGTTATCCAGTTTCCAGTAAGGAATAATAAGGTGGTGCTGCTGTAGGGACAGAATGGCATCTCAGCTGGTCCTGGATTAGTACTGGTGCTTGCTGCCCATCTGACAGTAAAGTGATAAAGCAGCAACAGCTGATGAGAGGCATGAAGAAGGTAATTTGAAGAGATGTGCATGCCTGAAGCAACTGGTGTAACTGCTTGATAATACACACCTGCTACTCCATGGCCATAGGCAGAATGCCAGGAAGAAGGCAGAGGAGGAAGGGAAACAGGGCTGAACCTCCCACTGTTATTGACTGGAAACAGAATAAAGGATGATAAGTGTTACCACTGGGACCATACAGAATGACAAAGCTAACAGCTTTCTACACATGGAGCAGTATAAGGTGTTTATATATTAAAAAATGTTTCATGAAGGAACACAAACAACATTGAAAGAGTGATTGCAGAATATGCTGATAAAATTGTGAAAAATAGGAAGAAAATGTTGGGAACTCTTCCTTTTGCACAAACTTACTTTAAAAAATCATCTTTACACCTTTTAAGATTAAAAAAAAAACTACCCACAAAAGTAGAAATATGTATAATAGGAAAAGAAATATCTGTTTTTTATCCCAGTTTTGGTACTAGTTTCCTGTATTTAACCCTTTTATTTGTGATCACAAGAAGTGTGAAGAAAGCAAACATTGTTCAGATGTTTTACAAACTAATTCAATGTTGTAGAAAGCTTTTATTGTGCTCTTTCAATGAAGAAGAAATTCTCTGATCAAGTCAGGACTTCTACAAATGATATCAAGCCCCCCAAGATTTGAGTGGCTCAAGATTTGAATCAAACTTTGCAATTTGTTTTTTGGTTGTTTCCCAGTAGCTCTAGCTGGACAGTTATGATTAAGCAATTGCATTGCGAATGTTGTATGCTTGGCTAATCTTTTGTTTTAAGAAAAAAGGAAGACAATCCCAAGATGAATGGGCTGTCTGGATGAGAGCCACCAGGAGTGAAGTCAGCAGAACTCAGCAGTAACTGGGGGAAAGGCAATTCTGGCTGTGACAGATTGTGACCATTGACTCATTGACCACCTACTTAAAGCAGACCCCAGACTCAACTGGAGGGAAGAACTGCACATGCAGACTAATTAGCATGAGGAGCAAGAGATACAACTAATAGGAATTTGAGTACTAATTAGTAAAATAAATATGTATTCTGTAACCAGTGAGTGCTGATGCCTTTGTTTGTTAAAATGCATAGTCTTGATAATAAGGGAGCCAGCCTTTTTGGGTTATCTCCCTACACTGTGCAAACCAGAATAAAAAACTGAAATACCTCAACTTGGTGTGTGAATTGGGGCTGCATACCAGGGAATGAGGAGCACAACACAATGGTTCACATCAACATTTCTGTTATTGTGGGAGCAATAATGGGGAATGACTCCATTTTGAGGCTAAGAACTTCTTCCTGAGCTTTGATATGCTGCTGATGTGTTTATTTTCTAAAGCAACACCTGGGTTTGCAGACTGTCTGTTTTGCCTGATGACTTGGAAAGCACTCTAGAGCAGATTCATTCAAAGGGACTATATGCTTGATTTACAGTACACATATTTTATAAAGGCAATTTTAAGTGCTTCAAGGGACAGCTGGAGGCAATATATCCAACATAAAATGCTTATACAGTGTTTTGAGAATGGAAAGTACACAAGAGCCAGATAGTTGAAAAAAAATATTGTGCCCAGTGAAAACTGGTAAAATTGAAATTGTTATAATAAAGATTAAGAAGCAATGGTATAGGTGGCTCAAACCTCCAAACAAACACATTCAGAAACAAACTCTAAATCCAGGTAAAGAACTGAAGAAGGAATGAGCTATAGAGCTTATCCATGGAAATTTCTGTATGCCTTCAGGTTTTGTGAATGTCTTTGCCTGAAAATGTCTACCAGTGACATGTCTACCTTTCCTCTGTGTTTAATAATGTTGTATGCAACTATTTACAACATTCCTTTGGAGTTTATGACGACAGTACCATCAAAGAGGGCAGACCAATATATCTACTTACATGACTAACACCTGTGTGCTGCTAAGTCTTTGAAAGATCAAGTTTGGAAACCTCCTTCTGATGTTATCTAATGATATCATTTGAACCAGGTTTACTAAATAACTTCAGTTTAAACACATGCTTTTGGGTATCAATATATGAGCATTTTTAGTCAGTCTCAAAGTCAATAAATAGTTTCAACACATCTAAATATTTTCAACACAGCAATTTTTGTCTCTGTTGAACCCGCTAAGAGGTACCATTTGGAAATATTTGTTTTCAAAAGTCCAAAATACCATGCACCTGGACTCCTACTTGCCTAAGTTGTGTGCCCTATAATAGAGATCTGCTCTCTACACAGGCCTTATATTTAGCAAACACCCTAATCTTAATTACTGTGTGCAAGGCTGTCTCTTCCAGCATCACAGGTTCCTTCTTCCTGTTATGGAAAAGCTGCCCTCGAGTGCAGGAAAGGGTGCACAGAAGTTGCCATGAATGGAACAGGTTTGGGGTCAGAGGGAGCAGGCTCCTTCATGCACAGACCTAGTTCCTCTACCCTGTTTCTCATCCTTCTTCTGTATAACTCCCCTCAAGTATGACTAGAAAGCATTTTTATGTTTACAGCATCTCTCGTGACTGGAGGAGAGGAGGAGCAGGACTAAAAAGAACACACAGCCCTTCTTCATGTGATTCCCTATCAAGACTAACATCCTTTAAGTACTTTCAGCCCTCTCCATCTCATCATTTATTTGTATTGTACGTCTCTCTCCCCAGATGCTTGATACTGAGCACCTCTTACACGTTCCTGTGTGCCCACCAAGCCTGCTGAGGACTACTGAATGCTTCAAAAGAAAGATAGGACACTCCAAGCCTTGGGCAAAATCTTTGCTGCAAATTTAATGGATGGCTGTTATTGCAACTACATTGTGTCTCCAATCTCAGCTGCTGGAGTAGGGGTGCAGACACCAAAGCCAAGAAAAAACAGACAAGAAGTGGAGTTTCCAGTTCAGGAGGTGAGACCATTAAGAAGAGACTTTGCCAAGCCCAGTCATTCTCCTTTAAACTACACTGTAGAGAAGAGCCAGGCTGTCTACTGAACTCTGATTTTGGGGGCTTCTAGTTAAAATGCTCTTTTGCCTGGGGCTAGGGTCATAAGAGTCAGAATGGGAGGCAAATTAGGCTTAAAATCATGTTTTCACCAGTGTTTAATAAAAAATGTGAATGTTCTCTCAGAGGATGTTTGTAACTCATCAGTTAGCCTAGCTTGAAACTATGAATGATAAATAATTTAGTAGATATGCTACAACAAGGATTATAAACATGCAAAGTGATATTAACAGTGTCTGATAAAGGGAAACACTCAGATGAGCTCTGCCTTTGATTTTGGAAGCTGAGATTTTTTTAAATGCTCATGCTTCTACAAAGGCATAAACCCCTGCTATGTTCAATGTCTGCCAGTACCATACTGTGGTTTCTTAAATAAAGAAATAACAACAAAGATGAAGAAGGATTGCTGAAGCTTTGCTCAGTAAAAACCAATTGTAAACCAAGAAAACACAAAGAAATTAATCCATAAGCTTTTTATTTCTTCTGATCTAAGACTGCTGTAACTGATGGCCTGATTTATACCCTCAAACTTATATACATTTGTTTATCCAAGCTACAAACTTGATTGTCTGCTTCAGAGCTGACTTGAAGCTAACCTTAAAGCTGCTTAATAAAGCTTAGTAATAAAACTCAGTCAAATGTTACTGTGTTATTAAAACAGTCTCTGCATCTTGAGTTATCCTTTCATGCTAAATACTTTTACAAAATCATTGAACCAAAAATATTAGGTGAAACTGACCGCCAATCCATAACCTGCTAGGACTGTACCCTTGCTGAGGAAAAAGTGAAAATGCAGGCTACTTTTCTGTGCTTTGCAACTTACTGAAATATACCTTAAAAGCAAATATATGAAAGAGATAGATATATCTTTTACATATGGGATTGCAGATGTATCAAAGGGAATATGATAACTTGTTGAATATCAAACTATATTAAAAGACACAGATGTGTGGGAACTGATGAAAACATGACATTAAGGATGTGCTAGCATTTCCATTTACTTACAGCCCTCCCATTAAAAGTGCCCTGAGCATGGTATATATTTAGCTACAGTTCCTCTTTCAGTCACTTCAAAGTGGAGGAGAATCTGGGTGTAAACAGCCTCAAAAAACGACTTCACCAAGAGAATTTCCTGTTTCTCAGATATGCTTTTCTCACTGCATTTTGTTTCATGATACCCAAAATTCCTTTTGAAAATACACTTTCTAGATCTTAGTGCTCTCAAGAACTGCCTCAAGCATTCTCTTGCATGAAAATGAGGATTCCTAGTTTGTGGTCCTGGTAGAAGTACGTAACTACTTGGCTAACATTTTGAGGTGCATCTAATGATTGCACTATGCAACTAAGGAGGACACAATTAATTTAATACTTGGACTTTTTCCATAGCATGCCATTTCCTAGGGCAACCAATGTTAGTCTAATCCTCAAGAGGAATTTTGCAACTTCCAAACTTCAGGCTATTCTGCATTACACCAATAGCCCCTGACTAAGGCATTTTTTGGGCAATAAAGCAGTAAATTTTTATTCATGCCTTACACAGAGTTGAAATCAAATGGGCTTGAAATGTTTCTTGTAAAATCATTGTATAAACCATATTTCTTAAGTAGAAGCATGTCTGAAAATAAACAGATTCATTTTCTGAATTATATGAGTTTATGATAGTATAACAAATCCTTCAGTGTTTTTAACATGATTATATGACACTTAGGTGGGAAATTGGGATTATATATCAAGTAATAAAGTTTCTGTAGACACCTAATAAATCAAGCTGCAAAATAACACAATCTGGATTCTCACCCCAGGACTTGAAATCTCTTTCAGGGATAAATAAGGTTTATGCTCTTTAATTTTTTATGTTTGTATATTTTATATAAAGATTTTTTCTAAACTAGGTAGCTCCTGGTGAAAGTAACACAAAATTTATTATCTATCTTGATAGATATTGGTCCAAAAAATTATACTATTAGATGATCCCAAGCTGCAAATAGTGACCTTTCTCTTCTTACATCTCCTGTTCTGATGCAGTAACTTCAGAGCTATCACCTTTCACAGGGAATTCAAGCAGTCATAAAGTGCTACATGATACCTTATTTTCCTTCAGCACAACTGTCATTCACTTTGACAAAACTGTGAATGCACATGTATTTGAAACATAACAATCCAAATCAGTGGGGCCCAAGCTACGGTTTGCAGACCTACCTTGGTCTACCAGAATAATTTCTCTGGTCATCGCTTGCTCCTTGCTAATACTGTCCCTCATATCTTTGCAACTTATCCTCTGTTTAACAGCAAAAAGTGTATTCCCTGCATGAGTTTATATCCCCCTTCCTTCAAGTGGATGTAAAGGAATCCATAGCAAGGAAGACTGCAGGCCAGATGGAGGCACTATGAATGAGCCTGCTGTGGCCTAAGAAACATTAGTCCTGACATAGATAGATAAACATAGATTAGTCAAGGCTGCACTTGCCACCAAAGGATCTTCACAATAATGCTGGCAGACTAACAGACATTTAGGAGTACACTGGCATTACGGTTCTTAATATCATTTTCTCAAAAAAGTCCTGCTTCTCCCTCCCAAAGAGCAATTCAGAAATAACTATGGCAAGTTTTCAGGAACTTCAGAATTAATTTAGGTCCTGATTTGTGGTTTACTGTATCCTACTTCCGATCTTCAGCATCCCTATTCACTGTGGACCAGTTGCATGGACCTAAATGAGTCATGCCTTTCCTTTCAAATTGACTCAGATGTTTAGTTGGGTGTGTTTGCATGATAATAACCCTTCAAATAAAAAATGAGACAGAAGAATCATAGTTTCAAAACACAAAATAGCATTTCTCAGTTGCTTGTGCCAGGACAAGGAAATATCCTCAGCCTACACTGCAGGCCTGGAAAAAACTCTTCTATGGCAAAAATTCTTTAATATCCCCTACCATCTATATAATTGTGAGAGCATCTTTCTACAGAAACACCTTTTCTTGAAGCAGAACACTACTCCAGCTGTTACCCTGTGCCTCTCATGTTTTACATGTATTCATTGAGAAAGACCAAAATTAAATATTAAGATAGGTAAGAAAACAGCTCACATGATAGATGAGATAATGAAAATCTAAGTAATTAGATCCATCTAAGGAAGTATAGGAGCAGTATTAGTTGACATAATGCAATAATTTAAACCCATATGAACTAAACCTATAATTCTTATTCTGATTACTTCAAATAATTTCCAAAAGTAACAACTGTGCTTTTTAGAAGAACAGGTTAGACAGCATTTGCTGCAAATTATTCACTAAATCAACTATCTACTTGGGGAAAAAGGAAAAACAAACAAAAGCCCTATCTTTTTTTGGAGAACAAAGTGTTTGTCCAGGAACTGTGTGCTCAAGAGTTTGCCTGGTTTTTTAAGTGTAGTGATTGGAAAGATAACTGCTTTTCCCTAGAGATCTTGCCTTGCTTGTATCATTGCAACTGCATCATCCATGGTACAGGAATATCCTATGATTCACTGGCTAGTAAGTCTGAAAGGCAGACCATTTTGTCCGGCATTTTGTCTAGCAATGTGCCAATTTGGCACATTTTCAAGGGTGTGTGAGGATGCTGCTTTTCCCTTCGGATGGTAAGAGCGTGCCGGGAAGGCTCAGAGGAGCCAGCTGACACTGCCTCTCATCTCTGTAGCTGTATCCTCTGTGCATGAGGGAGCAGCTGCCAGCTCCACCCAAGTCTTGATGAATTCCTGTGGCCTCACTTGGATGTTTATCCAAAGATGCTCCATGACCATGGTCTGTGTCACTCAAAATCAGACTGTTTGTTGCCTTTCCTTCCTGAGCTATTGCTCCAGGGAACAGAAGGATGCCAGGATTAGCTATTTTTGGGAGCCCAGGTGATGGATAAGGTCAAGGAGATTCAGCCTGTATATTCCTAGGGACTGGAAAAGCATATCCACTAACCAGTTAACTTTTTTTTTATAGGTTAGAGTGTAATATCAAAACTGTCACTTAGATAGACCATTATGTTCTTCATACTCTCTTGTGGTCACTTTTCAAGTACATTTGCTGCAATTATAAATACAGAACCCTGTAGCTTCTAGAGTGACAGCCAGAAATTCATTCCAGCTCAGAGTACAAGGTTCGGCACTTTAAATACAGCAAGGGAGGGGCAGTGAAAAGCTGTAACTCTGTTAGACACTTCCACACAGACTTTTTCCTGTTTTATGAAAGTATAATATCTTGAACAAAAATATATACAAGCTGAATCCACATCAAAGACATATGTGCTCTTAGTATAAAACCAGAAATTAGTATTTTGTCTTCCTGTTCTACTGACCTTCCAGCTGCCCCGTTTGCTGAAATGCCTTACTGAATGTACAAGCATGCCCATCATCCTTTACAAGCTCTAGTGCAGGGTTTTGTTGACATTATTTTATTATTACAATTCCGGATGTATGCCTTGCCTGTGTTTGCATGCAAGGAAAGAGTGAAGACAAAATCAAATGCTCTCACTCAGATACAGGTAACAGCAAAGAAAGCAGGTTATGCTGGAGACATTTACCTGCAATTTCCCTGCTGTACAGAGGTTTTATTCTGCTGTTGGCTCTCAAAGACATCTGTCATTTTCTTAGGCTGATTTGCTGGTTTGCCCAGATTATATTGTTTCTACCATTGCATTTTGCAAGTGCATAATCGCAGTACTTAAAGATATGTTCTTAATTTTGATATCTGTTTGTTTGTTTCCAATCCCCCTTTAACCTTACAACCTACACGTATTCTCGTTTAATACACGCTTGCAAATTCCCCAGCAGGGGAGTATAACTCCCCTGGAACACGTTGTATATATATATAAGCGTTGTAGAGAAAACAAACCCTTTCTGCACCTTGCCATTAGTAACACCAGAGCAAAAGCGACCTACGAAGCCATCGAGCCTCAGCGAGGCTCCCGAGAAAACACCCCTCTAAATGGAGCCCTCACTCCATGTCCAGGCTGTTTCTTTCTTTCTGGCAATGCCTCAAAACTCAACCCCAAACCGTGCCAAAGTGGGTCCGAGCCTTGAGGCGTGCGAGCCACGCTGACCTGGCGCGGAGGTGCCGCGGAGCCCGGGCGCACCGGCTGCCGCCCCCCGGCTCAAAGCCCGGTGCTGGTCGGGGAAGGCTCGTTCCCCTGACAGAGACGGCAAGCCGGGGTGTTTGCGGTACAAAGCCCTCACGTAAGAGAGGGAGACGTGTCAAGGGAGCGCAAGAGTACCAGTACAGTCAGCGATGCTTGAACCCCGCGCTCCCCTGACGGAAAACAGCCCGCTTTCCAGCACGGCTCCCTCCAAACCCCGCAGGTCACGGCTGTGCCGGGAATGCGGGCGGCTGGCACCGGGGCCGAGGGGGTGTGCGGCCCGGGGCGGCTCGGGCGAGGCGGGCGGCGGGGCCCCGCTGGGGCACACCCGGCCGGCGGGGCGCTCCCGGGGCGGGGCCGGAGGCGGAGCCTTGGCGCCGCGGCCGAGCCCCGCAGCGGGGCCGGGCGCTGCCGCCGCCGGAGCTTCGCCTGGCCTCCTCCCTCCCGGGCTTGCCACATCGGCACCGCCGTTCCGAGAAGGCGCTTCCCGGAGCGGAGCGGGAGCCCAGCGCGGGGAGATGGAGCCGCGGTGCTGCCGCCGCCGCCGCCCCCCGGGACTCGCGCTCCGCCAGGGCCGCTGCTGCCACTGCCGGGACGGAGAGAGTGGCCCCGCCGCCGTCTAACGCCGTAGCCCCGGCGGCGCGGCCGAGGCGGGAGGCGGCGCGGAGGCCTCTCCGGCCCCTCCGGCCCCTCCGCGCGCCGGGCGGCGGTGAAGCGCGGCCCCCTCCTCCCCGCCCTCCCCGCCGCCGCTTCCCCGCCCCCGCCCGGCCCTTGGCCGGGCTCGGCAGCCGGGCCATGGCGGGGCGATGAGGGAACGGCCGCCCCTGCCCGCAGGCTGCGTTGGGAGGCGGGGAGCGAAGGGGCTGCGCGGCTCGGCGGCGCTGGAGCCGGGCGGCGGGGCGGGGGGATGCTGGGCGCGGGGGCCGCGGCGCTGCAGCTCCTCTCCCGGGCCGTGAAGCAGGCGGCGGCGCAGGGCGCCCGGCAGGACCTGGGCCGCTGGCTGTCCCGAGCCGCCGGGACGGCAGCGGGAGGCGGCGGCAGCGGAGACACCATCGGCTTCGTCCCGGCGGAGGCGGCGGGGGCCGGCGGGCTGCTGCTGGGGCCCTGCGCAGACCAGGACGGGCTGCCGCCCGCGGAGCTGCTGCTCTGCCAGCTGCCCGAACCGGGCGGCGGCGGGCATGGGCTGGCCGAGGCCCGGGGCTGGCGCTGCTCCTGCTGCCTGCTGGGCACCTGCTGGTGCAAGAGCTGCCTCAGCCTGTGCGTCCTGGCCGCCGTCTGCTTCGCCTCGCTGGCCCTGGTGCGCCAGTACCTGCGGGACCTGCTGCTCTGGGCCGAGAGCCTGGACAGCCTGGCCGGCGTACTGCTCTTCACCGTGGGCTTCATCGTCGTGTCCTTCCCGTGCGGCTGGGGCTACATCCTGCTCAACGTGGCCGCCGGCTACCTCTACGGCTTCGTGCTGGGCATGGGGCTGATGGTGTTCGGCGTCCTCGTCGGCACCTTTGTCGCCCACGTGGCCTGCAGGCGGCTGTTGGCCCGCTGGGCACGGGCCAGGATCCAGGGCAGCGGGACGCTCAGTGCCATCGTCCGTGTCGTGGAGGGCGGCAGCGGCCTCAAGGTGGTGTTTCTGTCGCGGCTGACGCTGATCCCCTTCGGGCTGCAGAACGCCGTCTTCGCGGTGAGTCCCTGCCTGGGCTGTGCGGAAGGAAGACAGGTGCTGGAAGGATGTCTTTGGGCACAGTGGCTGCTCCTACTGGTAGAGGTTGCCTCCTTCCCTGGGAACAAGCCGTGGTTTCTCTCTCTTTTAACAACAGTAAAAACAACCCTCTCTGCCTGCTCTTCTGTGCATGCAGAGGGACACAGGCAGATTTTTGAGGTGCCTTGCTCACTGGCGTTGTGTTAAGAGTTGCTCTCTTGTCCTTCAAAACTGTATCCTAGTGTTAGAATCACCAAGGTGCCGCATAGCAAAATCTGTGGAGAACTCAACAGACATGATGTGTTTCTGCTTTTAAAGTGATCAACTTTAAAACATAGCAAGAGTTGAGGAAAACTCTTGCCAAGTCTTCCTAAACTACTTAATATAAGTAATCATATTGGAAAAAAAAGAAGTAGACAGATTAAAATTCTTTCTCGGTGTGGTTGGTGTTTGTACCATGCATCTGGCAAATCCATACAGGATGTTAAGTCCATGCACACAAGATAGGTTGCAGGTTTTGGGCAGAGCAGCATGTAGCCTCAGACCCGGAAAGGGACTGTATTCTGGAGTGGCACTGAAAGTTAGTTTAAGCTTGAGTCTGGAAGAGGGTTAGTCAGCAAGACTTTCTATTTTCAGGTGCAGATTGGTACATTCATTTGGTATCTGATCATCTTAAAGGAAAAAAGCAAAGAACATGGATGGTGGTTTGTTTGAGTATTGTGCTGCTGATGACAATTTCAGACCCTCCTTTCTTCCTGAGTACTTTGTCTGAAGGATCTGGTTTTGGCTGTGTTATGCCTCAGTTGTATCTGCTAACTGAGCGAAGCCAAAACAAAGCAAACCGGATTGTGAAATACTTCAAATGTTATCAGTAATTTGTATATTCTTTGTATATTCTTTAATACAAGTGACTATGTAAGCACATGTTTGGGTCTAACACTTTGTTATAGCCCACCCTGTCTGCAGTCCTGATCCTGTACCCTTCCAAAGCATTTGCTTAATTTTGACAAAATCATCTGGCTGCAATTAGTAGGTCACCAAATACCAAGTTTGTTTATTAAGTAAAATTTAATCCATTCAGTTTTGGGCTGTAACATCCACACCAAATATATTAAATTGCTGTATATAAAACTGTGAACTGGAGCATTCATCTCCAGAGCTGTAATCTCTATCCATAAGAACTGTAGCAACTTGTAATTTCTTTTTAAGAAATCCTTTAACCATTTTCTTGTTAAGAATGAGAAACTGAACAGCTGAACTTTGCTATTTTATTTGTTAACCTGTATTACTGAAGGGGCTTAGACCTGTCCAGCAGGGAGAGCAGAGTCCCTCCTGGAGCCCAAGGTCCAGGTGCAGATGAAGATTCTGCTCTGCTGTGACCCTCCTAAAGTGGGGAGAGCTGTTGTGCTCTGCTTGTTCACAGCTTTGGGAAGTCACTTGCAGTAGTCAGCAGATGATATAGAGTAGTATTGGATCTAAACAACAGACCAGAGAATTACCAAGTTAAAATTATTTTCTTTCTGGCATAACCCTTCTGTTGGAAACACGATTCAGCAGAGTATTCAGGCCAGTTCAATATTAAAATGATGCTTTAAATCATTGTGGTTGGTATTCTCCATATTCTGCAGGCTAAATAATTTTCTTTCCAAGTGGATGGTTTCAGTGTTAAAATAATAGATAGGAAATGAGTTGAAACCAGATGCTTGAGTTATGCTAAGTAACTTGGATTTTTTTGGCTAATTTTAGTTTGGTTCTGTTTATTACTCCTGACTGCTTTATAGCATAGTCAAATAATGCATAGTGTATACTCAGTTTTTCACTCAGAACATTTAATATGAGCCACTAGATCACCAAAAAGTGATGCATACACATCTGAGAATTCAAGAAATTTTCTTATTTTGAGTCAAATTTAAGTTATGTAAAAAGTACAGTTTTCTGCCTACACAGACCAAGCTGTCATTCCCTTGAAATCTCACTTATTTGAAAACTTTACACTCGTTTTAAGTTTAAAATACATTTCCCCATGCTAGCAACTTCAGCAATGAATTTTAAAAGCATTAATTTTTAAACAACAGTGAACTTAAGAAAAAGTACACATCTTTAACTTTCCAGTGGTCTATGCATGTTTTCTATGTGGATATTTTAAAGTAAACTGGAGATACCGAGAATACTTAAATGAGAGAGAAGGAAGGAAGTGACACATGAGGTTTGGGGAAAGGCATAACCTTGATGTGAGCAGGGTCATCTGCAGGGCTGGGATTAAATGATTTCTACAAGCACTTGTTCGGTGGCATGTACCATCTGCTGAGGGCTTTTGGGATGTTGGTTTGTAGGGGGTGTAGAGAAAGATGGAAGAGCATCTTAGGATTTGATTAGTGAGGGAATCAATATCAATATCAATTGAAACAGCATAAAAAGAAAGTTAACGCAAATTTCTTAGTGTCTCACCAGCCCAACATGAGCATCTTGCTTCTTAAAAGATTGTTCTGCTGGTAGAGGAGTGAGGCAATGCATTTGCTTGCCTCTCTGGAATATAGCACTTGCTAACTGAAAGTATGTTTGTATTTCTCTTTTAAGTTTTGCTTAATTGTCACTCCTGATGCCAGAGTGGCCTGGGCTGCTGGGGTGGGTTTGAAAGCTCTTACTGATGTGTTTGCCCATGCACAGCTCTCTCACCTTGCCAGCTCTGGAGTGTTTTGAAGGCAGGTCTGTAAGGAGGCCTGGTATGCAGGTTATCATCTCCTTCCCACGAGTTTGTTCTTGGAGTGAGATTTGTGCAGCCTGGTTATTTGCAGTGCTAGATGTAGGTTAGATGGGATTTCATACTTCCCCTCTCCTCTTTAAGGGGAATATTACATGAAAGAAATAATCTGACTTAAAAAATCTGAATGTTCAAGTGTGCACCTCTGGGTTCAGAAATGCACACAATGAAGTCAGAGTTGAAGAAATGGTACCTGCTTTGCAAGAACATACAAACTACTTCCTCTGCTTGTTGGAAAGTTGGCAGCTGTTTTTTTCTTTTGTATTACTGGGATTTTTTTTAGGGGGTGGTGTTGGCTTTTTTTTTTTTTGGAGCAGGAAGAGGTGTTTCTGGGGGGTTTTGTTTTGGGCTTTTTTTTTGAGGAAAAAAGCACCAGTTATCCTTTGCCCCTGGTCACTAAGCCTACCTGATCTGAAACACAGGAATTTGTAAAGTGAGGGAAGAAATATTGTGCTGCAATCCTTAAAGGCATGGGAGCCTCCAGCAAAATCTTGACAGAAGCATATTCCTTGACTAAAGGTGTCAGCTGCAAAGAATGCACAAGTGTTCCATGGGACAAAGCCCATCCAAGGCTTCATGAGGGTGTGTGGGGGGGTTCTGACTATTGTTATCAGTGTAATTAGGTAGTTCTTAATTGTATTTGAGTACAATTTAAATGTGCTTCTGTTATGGCCCATAACACAAGTGCATCTGTCCTTAGTTTGGGATTGCAGGGTTAATTTTTGCTGGCTTGAGCTTTCACCAGAAACAGAGCCCTGGTAGGCTCTGTTGGGCAGCCTGGCCATGCAGATACCAATTTGGCAGGTTCATAGAACAAGTAAAGTTCCGAGAAAGAAAAGTATGGAAAGCTGTAAGTTTTATTGATGATTTCTCAAGTTTCTTAGGCAGGGATGCTGCCCACTTCCTGTGCATTCTGGGGAAAGGGATACAACTGTAGCTCTAAACGTACAGTTCAGTTAAAATGACATCTCAAAAATTTTTCCACCCTCTCCTTAGCTCTCATTGCAGTGGAAAGCACAAGCTGCAATTAAGTGTATCCACTGGGGCAGTCTCCCCTTCATTTGGAAACAATCTCTCTCATGACTCAGGAGGTCCAGTTGTTTCGGGACTCATCCAGGTGTGCAGCCATGTTGCTCTGCAACTGAAGTGTCCTTAATACTTCTACAGAAATGAGAGAGGTACCAAGAGTGTTAAAGCAATCTTTGGGAACGTTCCCAGCTCCATTAGATGTAATGATAGTGTCCTACTTAGCAAAGCTTGCCTCTGAGTTTGTATTTCAGAAACTTTTAATAGCAGTTCCTTCATTCCCTTGGCAATATGGGAGCTTTGGACTATGCATTCTTATTACATGGCCCAGATTACAACAATGCTTAAAAAAGTCTTTTGAAAGTATTGGTCAAATGTGAAGTTCTGACATAATTATGTAATCCTTTTTCATTATAAATCCAAATTAACCTTATCTAGAGAAGGAAATATAATATTTGTGTTGCTGGTATATATTTCAGTCTGTGGGAAGTATAATATGCAGTGTGAAGTTTGGAAATGGCTTATTGGATCTTGTTCCAGTGAATTATTTTTAATCTTTATGCTTCATTGCATTCTGCTCCTCCATTGCCCTTCCTCCCAAAAACTTTCCACTGATGGTAGTTAGAGCTCTGAGAATTCAGCACTGTGACTTTCACAGTAACTGAAGTTTATTTTAAGAATAGCATGATGAAATGAGTAACGTTGCTGCTATTCTTTGGTCTTCAACATTGTACAAAACTGGCAAGGTCAATAATTTCCATGTAGGCTCTCAGTGTTAGAGCTGTTCTTAATTAGATCTCTGTTATTATCAACTGAATTAATCTGGAAATTTTTTTCGACTGCTTGTTTTCAAAATCATTGTTTTCATACTCATTTTTAATCCAGTTTCCTCTTTTCTTTTTTCTTGTGTAAATATCTTTTGATCTCATGACACTTGCCTTTAATATTTCCCAATGGCTGCTGATGCTAATTTAGCTGATACTGTGTACTTTGTTCCTGTGTAAGCTTCTACGTCCACCTATTGACACAGAACAGGAACCTCACAGCAAAGAGAAGAAGATACCAAAGTATTCTTAGTGTTTTCTCCAGATAATTAATAAAACCTGTAGCTATGCATACTGTTTGTTCACTAATTGAAGTGAGATGCAAGACACCTTTGGTAGACAATCTTAATGATACTCCTATATATCAATATAGATGTAGACGGGTATTGCTCATCATTCAGGGATCACTAAAAGAGATGTGTATCTTAATAAACTCATAGCTTGCCCTGCATAGACAAATTGTATCTGCCATTCTGTTCACCTGGATCCTATTTAAAAGTGACATTTTGAGCAATTACCTCTTGTATTATTTGCCATATGCATAAATGCAAAAGCGATAGATTTTTTTGTTAGACTTTCACATTCAATAAAATAATTTCTTCTCACAATTCTCATAAGTCCAAGGACTCTGTTCACCAGGTAGAAATAAGTATCTTCAGTGAAGAGGGTAATTGCACCCCTAGTTACTGACTGTTGCACAGAGATGTTGCATAATGTAAGGTGAAATCAAACCTAGTAACTTTAAAAAGGCCAGATGAAAACTAGATGCATACTATATCATTCTGTTATCTTCCCCTCTGCATGAATCAAAGTTTCAGTGAAGGAATGTAGGATATTCTCTAATGTTTTTGCAGGGATGGTTGTGGAAAGTGGTAGTCTGGTTGTTTGTCCACATAGATTGTGTTGAAGCTGCTTTTGATTTCTTAATCTTTTTTTTTAAATTCAGATTACAGATCTATCACTACCCAACTACCTGATGGCTTCTTCACTTGGGCTGCTTCCTACTCAGCTCCTGAACTCGTACCTGGGCACTACCTTGCGCACCATGGAGGACGTGATTGCAGAACAAAGTGTTAGTGGCTATTTTGTATTTGGTTTACAGGTCAGTTAAAATAACTGCTTTCATAGACCTTGGTAACAGTGCTGTCTGTCTCTCTGTGATTTCTGTTGATTGCTAGATACCCAGAAAAATGAGTTCCCAGTGTACTGATTTCTTTAGGTTTAGTTTTATGCTCTGGGAAAAGTGTAATTCTCTCACACCTCACCATAACACAAAGCAGAACTTAGTGTTCTCTTTTTCTTTTTTCAGTAAGGTTTTCAGTAAATTTTCTTCTCTTGCTGTCCTAGGGTGACTTTATGATGCTTGTATCCCCAGTATTCTGTTCTGTTTATGCTGGATATTAAGTTCTGCACATTAAAGACTGATTCTGAGAGCAAAGGGGGAGGGGGGGGGAAAGAAGCACGCAGTTTGTTTTCAGAGACTGCACTTGCTCCCCGCAATTCCCTCTCATGGACTGTGTTGTTTGCAGCACAGACAGCAGGAAAGAGCTCTCCTTTGCTTTTAGTTAGGTTTTTTTTAGCTAGCTAAGTAAAGAACTTCCCCAGATTATGGCTTTTCTTTTTCTTGGAACTGATTGGCCCTGTTCTGGACTGAAAATCCAGAAAAACACTTGCCTTCTAGGGTAACCTGCTGAATTTTAGACTTGTCAACCACCTCTACACAAAAGTATATGTGTGTGTAGACCCAGGACTTGTGCACTGTTCACTGTTAGCGCTCAGCATACCCATTTTGCATAAATATTAAAGATATTAAAAATGCTGTAGAGTACTATTTTCCTAATGCCTAAATTAGAATATCCTAATTTTACCAGTGAGTAAATGAATGAGAAGTATGTTAAGTACCTTTACATAACCTTAGCTCTAGAAATAATTTATCAGTAAATTTTGGGTATAAGCCTTAAGTGTGAGACCATTATGCGTATAGAGGTTATGGGTATTTCTGAATTATACTATCTATTAAAACCTCCTCTGACAGTGACAGTACTTCAGGCTGTGTTTGACTAATAATTACCATGGTTTGCAGGCTTTCAGTAGGTACTGCAGTAATTTCAGTTTCTCAGTTTTTACAGTCATAAAGCTGATGTTTAACAATGCTAACATAGAAAATTAAGTCTAGGACATACCTTCCTCCCTTGCCCTGAAATTTGTGCACTCTTAAATAGAACTATTTCTACTGAATAGAAATAGAAGCTATATAATTTATGGTTTTCATGAAACATGGTTAAAATGCCTTTGTAAGTGTGGCATAGATAGTTTGATAAATCAAAGAGAAAAGAAATGATTTCTTGGTCAGGTATTATTTTAGTCATGAAATGTTATTTCAGGGTAGAAGTTTTTAGTGGCCTTTTCCTTTTTTTTTTCCCCCATATATATATTTATTTTTTTTAATTGACATTGACTCTCCTTTGCAGATTATATAGGTTGTAACATAAATGGTGCTCAGGTAAGTGGTAGCTGGGTAGCCTGAATGTTTTAAAAGGACTACTGACCTCCTTGAGACCAGTCCTTGGGACATGACTGAATAATTGAAGGGGAGGCCTTTAGTGGAGAAATTATTTACATTCTCCCTCTGTCTCTCAGGCTTCTGCTAAGTGCTTTGCCTGGGTGAGCTTTGATGGGACTTTGATTTAGTAAATAGCTCTGAAAATCCTTCATTTCATGGTTGTCTATGTATATAAATATATTTTTAAATTATTTATCTAGGGAACTAGGTTACTGGTAGCAATATTTCTAAACCAAAGCAAATTTAAATATTTGGGTAAGCTTCTAGAATAGAAATTTTCCTATCTATTCAAAAATCAGTGTGTATAATATCATTGTGAATCTTACATTAGCCAGCTTTTGAAATGTGTAGCATAAATTGATGAGGAACATCATTTAAACCCCAAGGGTAGTCAAGCACTGGAGCAGAGTGCCCAAAGAAGTGGTGAAATCTCTATTCTTTTACAAAAGTTTTCAAGACCTGACTGGACAAAAGTTCTGTTCTGATCTTACAGCCAGCCCTGCTCTGAGCAGCTGGTTTGGTTAGAGACTGCCAGGGTTCCTTCCAGCTGCAGTTGTCCTGTGCTCATACTTGTCAGTTGTCTTAGTGATATTCCAGCACTGTCTGCCATGCTGACAGGTGTTTTAAGCAATAGTGCTCAGTGTTAAAGGAAGCAGCCCCACAGTTAGTAATGAAGTTCAGGTTTTAGACTCAGAACTCTAGGTTTTGTTGTAAGTAATATAACTTCTTTGCCTTTTTGAAAGGAAGCTGCAGATTCCAGCTAGTTAATGTTCTTTTAAAAAGGCAGAGGAACTTGCTTCTTTCAAAGGGATTCTCACTATGAGACACCTTGCTTTTTAGTTGAAGATTTTATGTTTGTTTTTTTCTCTAAGGAGGATCTCAGCTAAAAACTTGACTGGTCTTGTATTGAAGAGAGAAGGTGTAAGGATTGCTTTATAACATGTATATGGAGTTCAACAGAAAGAAAGAAACTTATCTTTTCAATGTATATGAATAGTTTAAGCTCTGTGTGATGTCTGTGTTCTGACATATGAATAGTTTAAGCTCTGTGTGATGTCTGTGTTCTGACATGCTGGTTACATTGTTGGCATATGCAGGTTTAGAGCTACTCAGGGGCTGAGTTCATCTCCTTTCTGGTCTCTTGCATGTGAAGCTTTGAGTCAACAGATGCCTTCATGAATCTTTACATTGACAGCTTTTTTTTTCATTCAGATCAGTTGCTTTGTTTCCCACAGCCTGTGGAGCCTACAACACTCTTGTTTTATTTGCAGATTGTCATAAGCATAGGACTCTCGTTTTATGTCGTTCACCGGGCTCAAGTGGAACTCAATGCAGCGATTGTAGCGTGTGAAATGGAAATGAAGACATTGCTTGTTAAAGACACTCAGCCAAGCATCAATGGCTCAACCACATACTGCAACAAGAGGACAGTAGCATTCTCTGGAGGGGGTGTCAATATTGTGTGATTTCAAGTGTTAATGACTAAGTAAGGTTTTGTGAACCTGAGCTAGAAATATCTTGAACCTTGCCTAGAAATATCTATGGACAATTGAAATGGATTTTTAAAAAATTACAAGTGATTACAGGTTGTACTGTGGCACAAACCAACTGACCAGCTCTTTAATTGCACATGGGGTGACTTCTAGCAACATAAGGAAGATGGCAAAGTAACTTAAGATGTAAATGAAAATTTGGCTGCACCTTTGGTCATTTATTATGCCTGTCATGGCCTGTAATCTGCACTTTAAGTAGTTTTTTTTTCCTTTGCTCCTATAAACTGAGAAATGCTTCTATAAACAAAAAAGTAGCACAGAGGTAAATATTTTTCTGCTTAGCATTATTTATAAAGCTAAATAATTATATACAGTAGAATTTTATTACTGATAAAGGTGAATGAGAAAGTATACAATTCAATGTATGTTATTCTTGAATGTGCTTTTGCTTAGGAATTGCTTCCAGAACTTGGAGTGTATTATTTAGCTAATGATGGGACCATTTGGCTTTTTCTTCATTTTTTTATTTAAAAAAATGGAACCCTATATAAAGTTTTGGTTGAATGTATTTTTCTAAGTCATTACAAATGTTGCAGAGCCATGCAAATGTATTCATACAAGCTTAAATCCTACATTGTGGGACTGAAGTGCTCTTAAATTACATTTTAAGTTACACTGTGTAATATGCAAAGTACAAGGGAAAATACAGAAGTTAGATTGCAATGACTATTTGAATGACACTTAATTGGTTTTGCCACCTTGGTGATTGTAACAAAGGGCTGTTCCACATTAGTCCTATATATGATATTTTTAATTGTTTAAAGGATGAAGTTTTTCAGCTCACGTGACTGCATGTTGTAAGGCTTCTAGAACAGGGAGTTAAATCTCTGCTCTAAACAGAATGGTGGGATATTAGTGGTACTAACTTTACAAGAAGGTGGCCTTTATTTTGTAAGTGAATCCCCTCTCCCTTTAAAAAGCTTTAAAAATTCACTTTGGTTGGCACATCTTTTGTACTAGTTTTACATTTTTTAAAAGATGCAATCTATTACAAATTTCATTAGAGTGAAGAAACAAAAACTAGAGGTTCTCCTTGGAAAAAAGAAATAATCCAGTAATGGAGAGGACAGCAATGTCTCTGAGACTCAGGAATTCTGACTCCATTTTTGCAAGACAAAACTATATTGGATACTGCTCCTTTTACGCCTGCTGTGGACTGTTTTTCACTGCATTAAATAGACTGGATAACCTGGCAGTAACTTGTTTGTGTGTCTAAAAGAAAAACAACAATAATGCCTGAACACAATGTTCTGTATGCGTGAGTTTCATGTAGATATACATACCAATGTTCAGTGGCTCAAACACACGCAAGTCATCTGATACAACCATAATGTAAAGTACGGCTTCTTTTGTAGTTCTTTTGTGTGAGTTTTTAAGGATGCTTTCAGTCTTCACAATTTTGTGTTATTTCCTAACTGTATGACTGTGCCTCCTTTTTGTAAGGTTGGTTGTAGGGTCCAAGCATTTTTGTCTTAGGAACAGTGGGTCTTCAGGGCCATTGGGAAGCAGAGATGTGAGAGCCTCTGACAGCCTTACCGAGAGGACGTGCAGCACTCGTGCAACCCAACACCTGTGCGCTCCTTCATAGCGGGAGTTCCATTTTGTTCCTCAAATACGAGTCCTTTGCTGATTGCTGTTCTTGGGTCTGCGGCCTAAAGAACTGAGCTAGTCCAGTGAAAGCAACAAAGTTCAGATTGTCTCCTTTCTGTTGTTTAGGGGCTTGGTTTTGGTTTCTCTTTTGGTTGGGTTTTGTTTTGGTTTTTTTGTTTGTTTTTGTTGGGTTTTTTTGTGGGTTTGTTTGTTTTTTGTTTTGGTTTCATTTGGTTTTGGATTTAGTTTTGATTGGTTGGTTTTTGAAAAGGCAATCTGTATCTACCTGGAAGTGTTCATTTACACATCTCTGCCTCTGACAGCTCCTGTGTGAAAACAAGAGAGCCAGATAACTTTTTGATGGCGTTATTTGTCATCATAGTATAATTGAGTCCTTTTTTAATTAAAGGGTTTTTTTTTGTTTGTTTGTTTCTTGTGAAGAACAGTCCTTCAGTGAACTGATCTGAACTTTGCTCTATCTTGCCAAATGAACAATAGTGTTTTGAAGAGGGTAGCTCTTTCTTTGCATTTTGTAACTAACTTAAGGTTGCGTTGATTATTTGAAACATTTCCCAAATATGTATTTTGAAGTGCTTTTATTTCCATGACATTTTGTAACCAGAGTAACTTCACTATGTGAACACTTTTGTAGTATGGAATTAGTTCTTAAGACTTTTGCATTTTGCTTGATACTTGTAATATTTGTGTACAAGTTAATGGGAAATGTGCATTAAAAGGAACTTTTCTGTACCATGCCAATCATAATTTTATACAATAAATTCACTTAAATTTCTTTAAAGGAATATGTATTAAATGTTTAAATTGCTATGACATAGTTGAAAAGAAGGTGCAGTGGAATCTCATCTTCATGCAGTCATACAAAGATAATTGTCTGCATCAAAGGAGAAACCATAAGGATGAACTCCTTGGGTGGGGAGTTATTGACAAGGGAAATAGACTCCATTTTTACTTTCATTTAAATAAATACATGCTTAATTCTATTAGGTACTTTAAAGGTTTGGTATTTGCAGCTGCCTTTTTAATAGAAGAATAAGCATATATGTGCTTATGAGAAACATGCTACAAAACTGCAAGAGGATTGATATTTCTGAACATAATAGTAGTAAAAGTGATGTAATTATTATTTTTTTAAGATAGGCTCCCTACCTAGTCTAGTTAAAACCCACAAAGGTATGAATCTAGTTTAAACAGTATGTGGCAAGTCACCTTCAAGAATATTTTCTGGGTTGTCATGATGGTGACATTTCTGCTTTTTGTATATGAAAGATACCTAAAGAGCAGGTCATAAAGAAAGACTCTCAGCTGCATGGCACCGTTTTTTCTTCTGCCTTGTGGTAAGTGCAATTGTGCAGTAAATTTGTCAAAATTTAACTTTAGACTAAGCATCTGTGTGAAAATCCTTTTTTTAGTTCCAGAGCTTTATATACTATTCTCATACTGATTTTTGCACAACAACTTGGGCAAGCATTGCTGAGGCCAAGTTTGAAGAATGGAAAACTGCTCTTACATTGTGTGTGGCTTTTGTCCCATACCGGATCCTTTGTGTTCATTTTCAGCTTTCCACCGGAGGCTGATACAGTTTGGATTTTGACTGACTGAGATAATCAGTTGTCTCGCAAATAATCTAGGATAGGATGCTTAAGATGAAATATGGAAGAGTTCCCATTCACACTGTGATCATTTTTAATGGTGCAAGTAAAGAACTTGGGTAGCTCTGTGACAGGCTTCCTCACAATAATTCAAAGCTGGCACTAGTCCTCTCTGTGTAAGATGATGGTTTGGGCATGAGGGGATACGAATCGATTGCAGAAGGGGAGGTGATGCAAATTCTGGCTCTGCTGTGCAAAGCAGCTTGTCTCAATCCTCTCCAGTCCTGCAGAATTAGTGATGTGCCTGGCAGCACAGGGGCAATCAGTCTAACAAATTCTCTCTTCATGGACATTAGCGTTTGTCTTGCACTACCCTGCTGTATTGATTTTTAATTTATATTCATTTATTAGTGATAAGTAGCAAGAAGCTGAGTCTGCGGTGTCAATCCTGTCCCTTTCCTACTACAATATATTATCCTGGTGTATTGCTAAACTTAAAATTACATTTTAATGAAGTCCTAAGTTCATTAGTGTAAGTAAAGTCCTCCTTGCTAGCCAAGTGACTAATATGTATTTGGTTGGCTCTGGATTCTTGATTCATTTGGGAAATTAGCTGGGCCCGATTTGCTGTTGTGAGGGTGAAAAGTCCTCTAATTTTCCTTCTAATTATTTAGAGCTTCAGATGCATTGCTAAAGAAATTGACAGAACAGGCTTAATGTACTGGAGGTTTTGCTTTGTTTTAGAACAAAAGTCATTAACAAGGTAGTGGAAGGGTTTGTTCTGCCTGGTTCTGAGACTTGAATATTAGGTGCCGTCCTTTTTGGAAGACAGTGTTTCCAAGATGTAGCCCCATAAGCTTATGTCAGTCGTGGTAATAAAGGGCTGTAAAACTTGGGTATTCAGTTAGTGTGACAAGTCTTTTTACATCATGCAATCTCCAGCCCAGCACAGTTTGGCATTGGTGAGTGTAGTGCATTGCTTCCCATCCCTCCTCTGCAGGAGGAGGAATTTAGAGAGCTGCAAGTTGTTCAAACTGAAGGGGAAGTTATCATCTGGATGCTGTGGACACTGTTTGAAGAGTTAAATTAACCATAATGTTGCCAGACCTTTGAATACACCTAAGTGCCTTGGTTTTGTAATTGCCACATCCTTCGGCAACTTCTGCCTCTTACCAGCTGGGGTAGCCTGGCCTAGGGGCAGGTCAACATTTTCCCTTCTAGAGAATTTTGGCATGCTTTGACTTTTAGACCTCTTAACTTCTGAAATAATCTTCTGCTGACTTTTCTGTAAATTAGAAAGGCTTAGTTTGTCCTAATAACAGGGTAAGATTACCTGGGATAAAAATCTGTGTGTACCAAGTGGTGTTCCTGCATGTGTGTGAGCTCCCTTCGCTGAATTTGAGGTGTTTCTCTCTGTTCCCTGTAAGCTGCAACTGTTTCCCTTAAAGTCTGTGGGTGGGTGGGTGGGAGGAAGGACGGAAAGGCCTGCAGTGATGAACTGTTCTAATAACAAATTTTCACTGTGCTTTAGAAACTTGATTGCTTAAGATCACAAATATTCTCCATTTAATGTGAGAAATGGTAGGTGGTGAGGGGAATAGACTAATGAATTCTCTGATTTTTGTGAGGGAGTAGGAATTTGCTTGAATATATTATGAAGTACCCAGATGATAGAGGGTTGTTTTTGGTTGGACTTTTTGGGGGTGGAGAGGGATGGGGGTGGTACTACTGGAAGTAAATAACACTGAAATGGCACCAGTATGAAGCTTTAAACCTTGACTTTTTTGACTGTTCCAGGTGTCTTTTAGTTATGGGGGATAGAGCCTCAGAGGAAGCTGGGGTAAACACTCAAAGAGAGTTTCTCAGATTCTGGAGAGCTGCTGGATGCACACCTCTGCCTCCAGGACCTGCTTTTCTAATTTGAGCTAGAGAGGTGCAAACCAGAAGTAATGGCTAGATCTCATCAAAAGTGGAACATTTATTGCTGCCCTTTTGATGTCTTCGGCAGCAGCAGCAGCACATGGCAGATGGTTTGCCTGCCTGAAAAGCTTCCTTTTCGCCTTGCTCTGCTTTGGCTGGCACAGGTGGTGGCTGGGGGAGGAAGAGCTGTGCACTTGCCATTTGCTTTTCCACCAGCTGGGGAGGCAGAGATTGCTGAGCTGAAGCCAGAGGTTGCTCTGTCTTTCATCCCCAAACCACTACAAGTAACTTCCTTTCCCTGTGATCTTAAAAAAAAGGAAGAGGTTACAAAAGCAAACCAAAATAAATTATAATTAAAAAAAAACCCCAAACATTGCCACTCAAGAAAGCTTCAGAACTGGTAAAATTCATACCAGTAAATTAATATTCTATATATTCTCCCATGGATGTAAATTGAGGTACAAAATTATGCTTTTTTTGTTCAGAAAGCTGTAGTAATCCCTTGAACTTTCAGCAGCTCCTGTGTGAGGTTCTGCAGTCAGTGAGCTTAGAGGGACCAGTGCTGTGTAGCTATGCGGGGATTTCCTTGCAGCTGACATTGGACAAAATCACTGATTTCCACCCATTCTCTTGTGGTGCTGAATTTCAGGGTTTTACAGCTGTGGAAACCATAGCCTTATGGACATGTGCAGCTCCAAGCTCATATAGATTGGTGCTTTACAAGCATTTTGTGTTGCATTTGTGGTGTGTTCTGTGGGAAGGCTGCAGTGCTTGTAACACGATGTGTGTCTTTCCAGGTTTTAGCTACAGCGCAGTTGATTTTTGTGCAGTGAGTTGAAATGTATTTCTCTGACTACAGCATGCCTCTTTCCCCCTGCCCCCATGGCAGCCACAGCAGTTTCTCAGATGCTGTATGGTTATCATTTGGTTTGCAGGCAAATAGAGGACTCTGCTATGCATACATGCTGGTCCATCATTAAGCAGATTTTTTTTTTGGTGGCTGTCTCCTTTCAGCTGAGGAATCTATCCATCTTTTTTCCACCTACTTCACTCAGTCTAATGACAGACATTCGTCTTGCAATGGATGCTTCCTTTAATTAAGTTGGGCATGGTAGTGTTCTTTCAAACAAGCTTGGAGGTGGGAAAATGGCAGGGTCTGGAGAAATAACTCTGGACTCTTCAGAGCCCTGGCATTTGAAATGGAGAAAAGTCTTGTAGTAATGAGTTTCAAAAATGTTTCCATAAAGAAGCATTTTGGGAATTTAAAATTTAGAGGAGGAAGGGGAAAGTTGCAATTAATGAAAAGAATATTAGTATACTTAGCAAGAGGTAAAAACCCTGGCAGCTATAATTAGAGGACTTTATTCTCTCCTTTTCAGTGAGTCATTCCAGAAAGAATGGATTAAATGTATTTTTTAATCCTTTTTACTTGTTAAAACCCGAATAGGAAAAGGAAAGGGAGTCACAGAAGAATGTATTAACAATGCAGAAAATACTGACTTGTACAGATTACTGAATATTAACCTTGAGACAAGGCTGGTATTTGCTTTTTTAAGTGGCAAATATGTTGGTACAAATCTACTTTTCTACATTATATCTGCTCTGATAAACAGAGGTTAAAAAGTA